AGGAGGAACCATTGGGGGGGGGGGGAGGGGGGAGGCCCGCCGGGGCGCAACCATATATAAATACGGGTATCTGTATGCACATATGGATATAAAGAACTGAGATGCATGTATGCAGTTAGCTAGATACCCGCATGTCTACATAATATTGAATAGAAACCAATGTGTCTTTACACCGATGTACCTGAACCTCTTCTTTTTGCAATTTCAGAGCTACGTAGCTATATAGTATTCTCAAAAGCTAAATACTTATGAAGCTTTTGTTTGAATAGTTGTTTAGTCATGAAATCCTTGTGTGTACATATCTATATACATATGTATAAAGACTGTATGTTTATCTACTTATTTGTTCGTGTACAGATATACAAGGCACAAACAATCCTGGACCGCATACTGTCGTACGGATTGCAACACGAGAGAAAGAACAACAACAAAAACGACGTCCCAACAGCAAACCTAGAGTCATGATGATCTTTCCGTAATCGTCGATCATCAACTCCGTCTTCGTGAAGGCATTGCAAGTTTTGTAAACGTTGCACATCAGGCCACTATCGCATCCTCCACACCGGTGACTCTTTCCTGGATGCAAGTTGCACTTGTCTAGGTCGTCCTTCGACAGTAGGAACCAGGGAATGCAGCAGTCCATGACCTCAAACTTGTCTCCGTACTCCGACTTCTTGAACTCCTGCTCATGGTTGTGATCTGCTTACAACACGAAGCTTGTGGTCCCGATAGAATGGGCCAGCTATATCTACTATTCACTGACAAATACTGGGTACCTCAAGAGTTGAAGGGTCCTTCACCTTCTTCAGCGGGTCTTTAGTGCGATCTTGAATTGACTTGAAGGTGGTCGAAACGCTTTTTGCAAAGTCGCCGACTTTCGGAAAGCTGGCGAACCTGGTTGTGAGGGCTGTGGTGAGGGGGATTCAAGAAACCTGAGAGCCTGACATCGGGAAGATACAACACGCAGGGTGCAATGACTTGACCAGTTGGACGGTAGGTTTCGTAAAGCCAGAATTGGCCACGGGGAAGCTCCTTACGAGGATGCAAGGATATGTTTGGATTGAGGGAGCTTACAAACTGCCGGTATATCTTTGCAGCTCTGTAGACTGAAGACGTTGCATTGATCGCTTCCTTTTACTAAACACCCCCCTAATACTAAAAACACATTGGGGCGAATCCTCCCGAAATCATGGGGGGGTGTTTCGAGGCTTCAGAGCAAGAGAAGGAGCAAGGGCAAGAGCGGGAGCATCAGCAAGAGCAAAGCAAAAGCAAGAGCGGAGTAAGAGCAAGAGCAATAGTGGGAGCAATAGTAGGTGCAAGAGACGCAGCAGAAGCAGGAGCAAAAGCCAGTGCGGGAGCAAGAGCCTGAGTAGGAGCAAGAGCGCGACCCCCAAAATCAGAAGCGGCAGGAGATAAAAATACACACTTAAAAATGAACATACTTTCCGATTTTCTGTTGGGGGTGTTATTAGGGGAACCGATACGTACTTGCACCAGGAAGATGCTGCTGATGCGACTCGGAGCTTGTCGGCCAAACTCTTGATGCTCCCGGATGTCGTGTGGATGGCGTTCAGGCTGTCGCGGACGTTCACGTAGTGGGTCTTTGCTTCACAGATCGGATTCCTGAGCTCTCCGACGGCTACGATGCTGCTTTGCAATATGCGCAGAACAGCTTGAACCCTATTGCAACAACCACCTTGCCCAACCCGAGCACGACCGTTGCAAACAGACTCCGCCAAAACCCTGGGCCTCTGAAACCCTCTCGGTTCGGTAGAAGTCGCTTCACCGCAGTCAATTGCTCATAGCAGTGGCTGAGTCGTTGCATCACCTGAGATGTAGCGTTGTCTTACGGTCTTGAGAGTCGTTAGGGTCCGGGTTTCGGGCTTGAGATTGGAATTATAAAGGTCTGGAATAGCCGGTGATGACATGCCCCGGTCCTTGTTGCAAAAAGTGTTGCCGGTTGAGCTCACAGCATTAGACAGATGAACGCTTTGGAGAGTATAGGCTAGGGCCCACTGGAGCACAATATGGGATCCCGAATTGTGGCGAATCATGTTCAGGCCGTGGTCAAACAGATTGGACCGACATCTTGCGATCCTTAGGCCAACACTTGGTAACAAATTTTCGTTTTCTCAAAGCTGAGTCTCATCGCCATCAGGTTCTCATATTCGTACAACTACGCAGATGCAAGTAAACCTACAACTAAGCAACAAGATTTGCTTGCGAAGCCAGAATTGCGCCAATCATCGAATCGATGGCATCGATGCACGGTCCGTCCTCCGAAGACAGTCGTGGTTTTGAGGGCATGTGCTTGAGAAGTTTGGCGGTTTAGGGAGATATGGCTGCAGGAACATGTGCTGCTTTGCAGCTCTCTATGTAGGACGGCATGGGGCACAGGGTGCAAGATTGAGGCTAAGGCTCCTGAGCGCCTGGTGGCAAACTCGACTGAGCCGACATGCTGCTCCCACCCAACCCCGGAATAAGAGGATTCAGACCATGAGCGTTACAAAGCAAGGGTGTTTTGCCTTTTGCAAGGGTACCCCTTCTGACCACATGCTCGCCTCACACACACCAAGGGGTCGTCACCCCTGACATCCCAAATTGCGGGGTACAGGCTGAGCCCATGGCTTTGTCCGAGAGGACCCACGGGTTCCAGCCGCGACCCGAGCCTCGAGGGCCTCGAGGGCCTCGAGGGCCTCGACCTCGACCCTTTCTCGAAACCAAAACCCTCAACCTCTGAAGCACCTGTGTGAGAACTCTTGAGGCACACTTTTCACTGGCCATCGCAGCCATCGCATTCGAACACTGTCTCCTGCTCGTTCAGCCAGGTCTTGATGAAGGTCTTGGCATAAGCCCTCGCCTCGGAACACACGCCTTTGACTCGAAGGCACGCGGTGTGGACGACACCGGTACCCGTTATGGGGTCACACGACCGGCTGGAAGTTCAGGAATGTAGCGGCCGAGTCGCCGCCTTCTTCGCCTCGATGTTAGCCGTGTCCTTGAACTTTCCTTGCAGCACCTGGCAGTCGCTTGCATCGAGGTTGAATCCTACAGGATAGCTGCCGCCGAAGCACTCTGTTGAACGTGGGCAGGTCCAATGTGCCTCGGTCCGGGGGGATTGTGACGGACTCATACTGTACGGCCAGCAATCAAGCCCACAAGCCGCTTGTGATGTGGTCACACGAGGGTTTCAACAACCCTTATCTTATACAGTACCTGCGAACAGGAGAGCTGCAGCAAGAAGCTCCTTCCAAGCTGCGGTTTGACCAGTTTCCGCACTTTGCTTGTTGATGGGTCTCCACGTACTCGCCATCGTCCTCCTGTAGCCTAGCAGCCACAGCAGCTGAAAGCAAATTGCGGGAAGTGGTGTTGAGGGCTCGGAGTCTGAGTGGAAGGTTGCCGGAGTCTGCATTCCAAGAAGCATGGTTCTGGGATGTTCTGGGTTCTTAGTCGCCCTCAGTCAACGCGAGTAGACGCATCACCTGTGGACTTCGGCGCATACAGTATGTGGAAGTGCCCGGGACATAGTTAGCAGATGTTAGCAGGCTTACATACGTATATATATATATATATATATATTATATGTGCCCTTTGAACAAGTCTCCCCAGTACCCAACTTGCACTCGTAAGAGAACCTTTTAGTTCCCCCCCTTCACCCTCCAGGTGCCGGTGGAGCAATTGAAGCAATTCGGGCAACAAGTTGAGACTTCTAAGCTCTAGCGTTCGTCTGGCTGCACTGGCCGAACTGCTAGAAGTTGTTCAGGGCACAACTTCAAGGATGCGCAAACAAAAGAACACCCAAAACAAGAAGGGAGCCCAGAGTGCAAGCGGTTCTATTCACGTTCGTGAAAACTTCTCGAAACAGTTCAGAGAGGAGGAGCAGACTCGTCGCCACGACGACAGCGGGGTCGCTGTGCAGCACACCTCTGCGGACTTAGGTTTACAATTTCAAGTTGCAAGGTTCTCCGTCCGCGTGACCTGTCGCTACAACAACAGCACTGCTTAAGAAATCATCGGTTTAAGAGATTGAGCCCCTTGGCCAGCCGCGCGAAAAACTAATCCCATTGAACCTGCCCAACAAAAGAATGGCTGTCGTTGGGCCCACCTTTTAGGGCACCAAAGAAGCTGACAGAGCTGTGGATGGGTTGTCCATGCTCGGCATTGAAAAGTATAGGCCTCGGAAAATGCCTGTGGGTTTGCGCCAAGCTCCAGGAGCTCAATTTCAGCAGTTTATGGGTTCTTGCCGAAGCAGGACAAATTCAAGCATGTTCGGGTAGGGGGATGGCATTGAACAGCATCTTTGAGGAAACTACTAAGGCCGAGTGCGTTTAGCAGGCCTTCGAATTCGAAGATGCACTTGGGCTTGTTCGGAGCTCCGTGAATTTGAGCAGTTTACGGGTGGCTGCATTGTCGGGTGGAGGGACGGCATTGAACAGCCGATGGGGAACAACTATAAAAAAAAGAAATCGAGGGTATCCTGACCTCGGATTGCCAATTTCTTAGTTTGCCCTTCTCGAGTTTTCTTGGCTGGTTTTCTTCGCTCCGCTCCAGCAAACACCGAATTAAGAAACTGAAAGGCTGGATTTGGTATTTCTGGCGCGATGCATGGGAAGACAACCCTCGAGATTGAGGACGCCAGGAGGCCATGCCTGACTGGTCAACCTGATTCAAAAATGCCACGGGCGTAGTGACTTCCCCCCAAAGGCTTATTCATGAGCCGTCATTCTGCTTGGCTTCTGGAGCCCGGCCTTTGGAAGAAATGTCGTTCGGAACATGATGAAAGTTTTCGTGCTCTTCAAACTTAATAAGAAGTGCATGGAGGCACAAAACGGCGCAGTTTCCTGTCGCACACTCCGCCCTCGATTCTCTCTCCCAAGCCACTTCCAAACACATCTGACAGGAAAGCACTTCGCGCGTGAGGTGCGATCTTGTCCTTGTGACCTAGTGCATACAGCCTCTCTCCACGAAGGACGGGCGAATCGTGCGGTCTTAAATGCATCTGAGTGCCCGTCAATTTGGGGCGTAAGAGTTCGGGGCATCAACCAGTGTGACGATTGACTTGAGGAAATTTTGTTTGCAGCGTACCCGGCACTTCTTGACATCGGCTGCACTTGGAGAAACCGTGGAGAAAGAACTGCGGATGGCCTGTACGGAATTTGACTTACCACGATCGCACGTCGATGGGTTAGCACTTGCAAGACAACCTTGTTGTTGGGGTGCCTTTCTAACAGCACAGCGTCTAGAGTTCCGGCTGTGAACTTCACCAAGCTGTAAGATGACTTCACGAACCGGACTTCCTACCACCCAAACCGAGACTCTAATGCCTCAGCCTCATTGTGCTTGACCCGTAGCCGTGAACAGCTATACCACAACTTCCTAGTAGTGGTCATTCATAGTAGAGCTAGTGCAGACCACGCTGTCCCTTAGAACGCCTCCTTTATCCAGGCAGGAGCCCCGACACTGCGAAAGCAGCCGCATAGCAACGGTTGAATTTCAGCGGGGGGGGTAAGCGCCTGGTTGCTGGAGCTGTGGATGGATTGGGAAGGCTTCCTAAATGTCTCTGGCGAGACTCCATCATCTTTTGCCTCATCTACCACGGGGACCTCCTCCGGCTCGTCATCCGAGTCGATATCCTGCCGGCCAACTGTCTCAAGGCTAAGGCAGACCAGACCGCCGTCTGCCACCGGCTGCTGCTGCAACGGTCATTGTCGGGTTCACGACAAAGCTCTGGACCGCAGTCCGAAAAATTGAGTGCGATATCGGAAAGGATGCGAACTCTGCACACGCAAAGCCTGACAATCGTACCCCTGAGCCAGAATCCTCCGTGCTTCAAGCTTCACTCTGCCGTCCTCGCGCAAATATGGGATCAATCCGACTCCTGCGTGCTTCGTTCTGAAATCCCGTGTCCTTTGGGGCCCGTCTTGGGATCTCAGCTTCTGGAGCTCAGCCCAGAGCCAAAGCTACTGGGAACCCTGAGTAAGAAACCAGGATTCATATTGCGGCTTACTTAGGAATCTGGTATGAACAAGCACTGAGTAGACCTTAGGAAGAGCAACATGCCTCACATGCCAACGTTGGCCTCGGAACAAACGAAATCTCCGAACATGCAAGCTTTTCTAATGAAATGCCTTCAGCCTCACCGAACCCACCGAGAAATACCGAGAAACTCACCACCGAGGGGCGCTTGACTGCTGCGTCCCAAGCCCTTTGGAGACCAGAAGGGAATCTGGGATAGGCGCAGGGGCTAGCAATACCTAAGTTTACACGCACGCACATCTATATAGTTATATATATATATATAGATATGCACATGTAGATGTATATGTACCTGTATCTGTATATTATGTACACATACATACATACTAACTTACTTACATATCGTGCTCGTCAGTGCTATATGAGAAGTAAGACTAAGAGACTTGAACAATCGCAACCTTTGAGCGATTACAAAAGAAGGTTGATTGAAAAGGAAAGCCAAGGTCAGCCCATTACGCTGAGACATGCTTCCAAGAGTTCAGAGAATTTGCGAGTTCCCTGTTCCTGCCAGCAGGTTTACCAGGGTGTTTGGGCGCTTTGCGCCTTGCAGCCTTGACGGGGCCAGAAGTCGAAGGCCTGCGTATAGGACTGGCGCACTACAAATTCTCATCACGGGTCTTGGGCTTCAGGTTGACTTTTTGATTTCGGATCCCGAGATTCGGCGAGCGATTTTGGACCCCGGTGCGCAGGTAGCACAGTGCCAGGAAATATTTTCTCACTTGGCAACCCAAACTGCGGGCCTGCAACAGACTTGGCCCAGCCAGAAGCAAAGTGTTACATTTGCTACGGCTGGCAAGCTGGCTTCACCAGGCAACATAATTATCTCCGTAAATGCAGCCTGCAACGGTCGACCCGCAAAGACATGCGATCAAAAGGGAACTTTGCAACATTACATCTGAGACCCTGAGCCTGGATTGCAAACCCACGGAAGGCCTCCAATTCCTGAGGCCGACAAGCCCAGACTGGTCTCACCCCTCAATCCTCTGCTTGAAACTCGATAAACCACCCTCAACTCTAAGCCCAAAATCCTCCATCAACCAAAGGCAACTAGAATGGCAAGGTGCTGCGAGATGTCAACTGTGTCGGCCCCTTCCGCATTCATGACAGTGATCACGGCGGTGGTTCCTGGGGTTTCGGGAGCTTCGTTAGGCTTGAAGGCTTTATGTCATTTGTGTCTGTAGTCTGTGGGGAAAAATGGTTTCGGGCGGTCAAGCTTCAGTGTTTACAGCTTTACGCTTGGATGGGGCTGTCATTTTGGCCCTCCTCCGCCACTTCTCGCAGTATGGAGTTCTCTGCTCACGGTCCGGGGAAATGTTGCATGTCAGGCAGTAGGAACCAGAAGGAACCACATAAACTATTCTGTCGGCTTTCAGAGTCTAAACTCAGACTGATGACGGTCTAATGCAGTGCCCCGGACCTAGGAGGGTCATCAGTGCAAGATGGTCACACAACGCATGGGGGACCAGATCAAAACTCTGAAAGAAGGATCTGGAAAGTTTGGCGAATGTCACGATCGACTGTCGGTCGGAGACTAACATGGAAGATTTCACTGAACGAAGCCTCGCCCCAAGAAGGTCGAGATTTAGAGAGATTGGGAGTTTCAGAGCTGAGAGTTGGAGAGTACGAATGGCTGGCAGTAGTCGTCCAGCTTTACGACCAAACAACCGAGAAGACTTTTATGTTACTGGCAAACTCTCAGGCTCGCGTAGGGTTTACATCGCCCTCGCACGCTCTGCAGCTCTCAATCTCTCAACTTAGACATGCGGTAACCCCCAGTTCTCACCCTGCACAACCTGTCTAACCTGAAGACAATGACTGCATGACCGCCTCTAGTTTGAACATGAGCTGATTTCGGGTTTAGACTTGAAGATACGGTCGACAGAGGGCTTCGGCTTCAGGCCAATGCGAATCTAGCCTCCGTTGTACTGCAGCGGCCCATCACTTTCGGTGAGACCCAGCGTAGAGACCTCGATTCACCCTCACCCTCAGAAATCGACGCCATCGACAGTCCCCTGAGGTGTGAAGGTCGAAGGTATACCTCGACGTAAGAGGTGGAGCGCTTTGGGGCGCTACCTGTTTGGCACGGTTGGCCGCGAGCCTAGAACAACCTCCAACCTGCACCTCAGCCCTTGAGAGTCGAAAAGCTTGACCCCTCAAAGCCATTCAAAGCCCCTAAAGCTGCAAGCGCTGGGACCACGAACCCTAGTCAAAGTCTTTGGCTCAAGCAAAAAGTTTCCTGTGCCAGCTGAGCTAGGGAAGCCCGTTGTCGAACAGGATACCTGCAAGATGGATTGTGGTTCCTGGAGGCTCGTCATGATTCATACGTAGGCCATAAGGATTCACGAGCTCTCCCAACTAGGGCTTATCACTTCACCAAGTCCTGCCAAATCTCCAAGTCTCCGTCGAGACGAGACACAGAGCACGTCCCGTCAGCGATGCACGTCAACACGTCATCAGTCAGTGTGTCAGAAACGTTAATGTCCGTCGTCCCCGCGGAATGCTGCAGGAAGGCCTCACGGTCGTATAAATAGGCGGGGAGCTAACTGGTGCTTCAGAAACAATCGAATCTCAAAAGACTGGACAAGACGCCAGACAGCTTGAATCGCTGAAAGCTGCGTGCAAAATCGTGCAAACTGGCGCGAGGGGCGCGGCGGCAAATCCTTACACAAAAGGACCTTGTGGGACACTGCGGGCCCTGGCCTCGTGGAAGCTGTGGGAGAACGGCCTGTTGCCTTCCTCCAGGAGAAGCGTAGCGGGCTGCCGTCGGCTCTTGGCGTTGGGCCTTGGGGTTTGTGGACCGGGTTTGAGGCTCGAGGAATCAGTTTCAGGATTTTGAGTTTTGAGCTAAACTTAAGCTGAACTAAAGCTGTAGGATAAGGAAAGCATGTTAATGGAATATCGTACCTGATATTGTGTAGGAGTGAACGACGCGAGAAGCCAAGTATAAGTCGGAACTTCTTGAGATTGCTGGTCTCGGGGTGCAAGACCAGCGTGTTGATGCGTGCTGTCGCCCAAGCCGCATTTCGTCCGCGAAGGGCCCAGGGGCGGAATAGCCACTGGATCTTGCTGGAGTTTTATAAACTGCTGTGGAAAACATCCCAACAAAGATACAAGGCGAAAACATACCAACAACAGCACATCTGAATCGTGGGTGAATCCGAATGGACTCAAAGAGGCTCTGCCAGCTCTCCGCAGCCTTCCACGCCCGGTCCAAAACAATCGCCTTTGCAAGCCGACGAGCACCTTGGTTATATCTGATGGCTCTGACTCTTTGGCACAGGCCATACGTTTCCCTCGCAGGGGGAGGTGTTTCAACAGATTCTATTTTGATGTGCGGTCCCTCAATCACTACTTGTTGTCGTCAACAATTGCTACCGCTGGACGGCTCAAGTTGAAGCGCCGCATTTCGGAACGCTTGACTCACTGATTGCCTCCGCCTGCCCCGACTATGCGCACTCGGCATTTGAAAGTCCAGGCACGGGATGCACACGAAGGTGGCTTCCTGATCATGCAGGAGCTCCAACTCTTCCACGGTCAACGGGCCGCATGCATGGGCTATCAAATATTACGAATACCGACTTTTGCGTGTTGGCTCTGCAGTTAAAAAAAGGGGGTTCTGAAAGTAACAAGCTTCTCGTTTTTAGGGTCTAGGCCACAGCGAACCCAAACACAGGGAAGGCCTGGGCTGGGCCTCTTTGTGACAAGTCCGGCCTTGTGGTTCAAGTGGACGAAGGTGTTGCTCAGATAGCCGACTCCCTCGCAAGGGTTTCGCTCAGCACTGAGGCTGGACACCACCAGGACGCCGTTCTCGCCTGCCGCGGCGTGCATCCGAGCTTCCTGGGCGGGAAAGGTGTACTCACAGGGCCAATCTTTTGCAGCCCACGCTGCAGCGCAAAGAAAACACACGCTCCATCACCCAAGCTTCTGTCCAAAACGCATGAGATTTTGCAGATTTGATTCACTTTTGGAGAGTCCTTGTGTATTCCAAAATAATAACGGTCCACAATAACCCTAGTACCTGGGCGCCCCATTTTATAGAAGTAGTGGTCTGTTGAATGGCTTCCAAAGGTGCGGGGCACCCGAGCAGAGTCTATAAATGACCGCCCAAGGATGTGGAAAACATGTTTGCGGGCTGGCATTATTCACGATGGAATGACTTGCCTTTGCTACCTGTTGTGTGCTTGAATTGCCCGATGGCATCATGCTTATCGATGCGATCCGGATGCTGGCAAAACAAGAGCATGCTATAGAATGGCCTGCGTGGTGCCCTACTCAGGGTCGCAACAAATCCAAGAATTGTGTTGCCAAAGCGCATTCGCCATAAAATGGCAGGGAGGGGTTACCGTCGGATTTCCTCGATCCCTGAGGTAGGAACCACTCGATCGGCAACTTCCGGGTTCAGAGTGTATGCCCTGCACGTCCACGCACCCCAAAAACCATCAGAATCGCAATGCACTCGATAAACTCGCGGGCCCAGGATTTGGCTTGATTGATCAGATGCAGGCTTGTTTCTCAGATTGGGTCCACGTGGCATGGAGCATGGTTCTGAGACAACCGAGAGAGTAGTTGTAAATCCGAATCATAGGCTTCAACATAAAATTTGCATGAGCAACAACTTTTGAAAACTGATCGTTGTCCCCCTGCTATTGTCAATCGTGCTGGTGCGCCTCTCATTAGATTCCCTTTCGAATTATTGGAGGCCTGAGAGCCTCTCGAGAGGACAATCATAAGTTCGATGTGCCCCTGATGCCAAGGGTTCGAGCAGAACAAGCCTTGAAAAATCGTCGGTGTCTCATTTTGTGCCAACATCGACCGTCCGATCGTCGCTGCCCTTCCGGTGCTTGGCCCAGGTCTGTCTGCGGACGGAACCTATGGATCCGATGGTGCTCCTTCTTGTCTTGCTTTGCCTTTATTTAGATTTGCAGCGCTGAAGTTCGCATTGACATGTCCTTTCGGTTGCAGCGGCTGTTTCTCTCGAGCGAGAGCTGGAGATGCCCGATTCGAAACCCAATGCCCGCCGAATTTCCCTGATGAGGGACAAAAACTCAACAAATTTTGGAGCCTGCAAACTGCAAGCGAGATTGTGTGATGCAAGTGTTCAGGAGTTCTTGCGCGATCTCTTGAAACCACGGCACGTCAATACGAGAATCGAAGCAGCAAAGAAAACTGCGAGGCGTGACAAGGAGGCGAAACCTATTATCGATCCATATGTGCAGGTAAATCAAAACCTAAATGAAAATGGTTGGTGCAGATTCCCTCTGTGCATCGGTTCTTGGATGTGACCAGCAAGGCCATTTCCGAGGAGCAGGTGGGGCAATAGGAGTATTCTGAAATTTATTCCACGGACAACATCCCGAATCAGGTGACGAGCGAGCACAACTTCCCGATCATCGCAACCTACCGCTCCTCCTTCGCCGAAAATCTCCCCACCAAGAAGGAGGTTGAGGCCGCACTCTGAACAACTCGCCATTCTTTCCCTACTTAGAAAAGCAATTCATCTTTGCGATTCCTCCAGGCAGCGGTCTCTTGAGCCGGGAATACGTATCGCCTGAACGACCCTATCGATGCCATTGCCAGACAAGCAGAATCCTGAGATACTTATTGACACATTTCAGATGGATTCTAGACTCTGGCACGCCCAGGCGTGGGTTGAAGATGAAAGTGCCATTTTGAGGGGCTTCGCTTCCTGGGCATGCGACCGAAGTCAGAGGAACCAGGAAGCAAGCCAGTCCACAACCCGTGTGTTTCTTTTTTGTGTGTGTGTGTGTGTGGTTTGAAGCTAAGCTTGGACAGGAAGGGTGACGAGCACGAGAAGATGTATGCCCTCAAGCAAATCACCCACATGAAGAAAGAGGAGCCCATATTGACAATTTTTAATCTTCAATCCAGACTATCATATATATTTCCAGCAGGATCTTCGGCCAGACACAATAAGAAGGCGGGCTTATTTGGGTTCGGGGGTGGGTTTTGTGTCGGGGGCGCTTGAATGTTTTGG